TGGCAAAGGAGAAGGTGTTCCTGGCAGTGTCTGAGGCAGTGGGAAGCTGTGCTCTGTAAACACGGCGCTGCAGCCGAGGGAAGTGCTCAGTGCTGGACAACACCAAGCAGTAAGTCCAGTTTCTAAATTTAGGATCAGTTCACATCCAGCACCCAAGATCATTAACTCAGGGTCATGCTCTCAGCATCTGTCACTGCTCCGTGGGGTTTGTCCTGTATTTCTTGCTGCACTGTGCTGTGCAGGTTGGTTTTCTTGCAGCAAATGTTTCTGTACAGGAACCAGTTCCTTCTCCCTTCTTGAGCCTAAATAATCCTTCACACACATGATTAGCCTCAAACCTTAGGCAATTCCTCACTAAGTGAGTTTTTGAAATCTCAATGAATTGCCATGTTTTCTTCCTCTTAGGCACAAGATGAAGAATAGATACAGATTTCCCTAGCACACTGTGTGTTTGGTATGTGTGTGTGTGTGATACACCTACACATATATACATACTCAATTCCACAACAGCAATGGTTGGTTCCATATTTGCAGCCAAGGAAAGCCAACAAGATCCCACAGCTAGTGGGTAAAATTCAGCTCAGCCACACACAGCTGACAGAGATGAGGAACAACATTATTGCTTTTGTTTAGAGTTGGAGATCCTATGTGACTGTTGCAAAAAAACCTGTATCATATGGACAAGTGGATTTTTTTTTTCAAGTAATAGTGAGATCTTCATCAAGTAACAGAAAGATCCTTTTCTCAGAAGTTCTACACACAACAGTAGAATGCTTGAAGAGCTTGAAAATTCCAGGTGACACACCAGAAACCAGAGTTTAGCCACTGAAAGCACACAGGCATCTCTGCAGAATGGGTTACAGGAGAGCAAAAAGAACTGTATGGACAGGGAATACTGAGAGAAAAGTAATCTGGATTGTAATACAGCTAAATTTTACCCCAAGAAACTTGTGTGCTTCCTCAAATAGCTGAGAGCTCTGCCTTGTGGCTCCTGTCTGGTGGTCACCTTACAGAATTTGTAGCCCATTTGCTAACTTCTTTTAGCAAATGGAAAGATTTCAAAAGAAAACCAGTGTTGGTTTCAACATTCAGGACTCAGAAGAACTTGTTTGTGCAGCTAGATGTTTCCCTCCTCACCTTTTCCCGAGAATCACATTCATATTGCAGGCTTAGAGTTCAGGCACTTTGATAAAATGTTCATCTGGAGTAAAAAGTCTGCAAAAAAGTTATTTCTGCATAATTTAAAAGTAGCATTTCAGTCCCATTAGAGGTTGAGGGTTAGGTCCCACCACGTGATTATGGTTCTTGTTATCTCCAATGATTTGACTGTTGCCATGTGACATTTGGAGGCTACTGTATAGCTGTGGTTAAGGTTTCTTCATAAACAAAAATATTTTCCTACCTATTAAAACAAAAAAAACAAAAAAAAAAACAAAAAACAAAAAACAAAAAAACAAAAAAACAAAAAAAAAAAAAAAGGAAAAAAAGGAAACTAAATGCTTTATACAGACAGAATCTGCTACTATGGAAATAAATAACACGGAGTGGAAAAACAGTGTCTTAGCTCCAGGGTGCTAAGCTGTGGAATGTCACATTCCCAAGTTCTGGAGACTAACTGCTGGTTGGCAGGAGGATCTCGAGGTCTTTGCCATTTGACACGACAGCATTGTTAGAGCAGCTACTGGTCACATCCATGGGGGCACCCAGAGGAGATGCCTGGGAAGAGGCTTTGGAGAGTGGAGCAGGAGCAGCAGGTGACTGAGCCAGGCCAGGTTTCTTTGGAGGAATGGGTGGTGGGTTCCCTCTTTCTGCTCTAGGAATGGTTGGTGACTTAATTCCAGGAGACAATGGGCTTAGAGGACTGGAAACCTTGACAGGGCTCGGAGAGTGACCAGACTCAGTTTTGGGGCTCACAGCGTTTGCCAGGTTGCGATAGTCCGTGCCGAAAGGTGAACTGTTGGGGGACACAGGTTTGATAGGTCCCTGCTGGCTGGTGAATCTGGACAGGACCTGAGTGACCGTGTTCCTGGCCAGCTGCTTGGCTGCAGAGTTGTCTGCCAGAGTGGGGGACAGGTCCCTGGAGGGAGGGCTCTGCAGGCCACTCGACTGGTGGTCCTGCTCAGCCTGGGACTGGAACTTGTGCCGAGCGGCGTGGAAGCGCTGGTTGATGCCCACCTGGTAGGAGGATTGGTACCCAGGGCTGCTGGCAGAGGCTCCCACCAGGCGTTTAGTCAGCACTGGTGAGGAGCAGGGGGAAGGGGTCAGGGAGGAGGCAGCTGTGCTGCTGGGAGACAGGGACACCCCACTCGAAGGCAGTTGGGACATCAGATGCACTGGTGACTCTGTTCTTACAGGAGAACTTCCATTCTCCACTGTGGTTTCTGGGGCTGCACCAGCAGATTTCTCCTTTGGAACTTGGCTCTCTGCAGCATTTGTCTGCAGGACCTCCCCACCCACCTGCAGGTCTGTGTCACAATGCCCATTGGATTTTGCATAGGAATGAAGAGGTGTAGAAGGGCTGGGGAACACGGTGTGGACAGCTCTGCTGGTGCTGGCAGGGTGTGCTCGTTCTGCCTGCACACACTCTGTCTGGCAGGACACAGACTTCACTGTGGGACTGTCAGTTGCAACACCTCTGGACATCACCGGGGCTTGGCTTGGCTGCTGTGCCTCAGAGGGATTGTGCTCCTGGCAAGAAGCTTCCAGCTCTTTCAGGGCTTTCTTGAGACATTCCACCTCTTCTTTGAGTGCTTTTGTACGGTTCTCTTCTCTGTTCAGCTTGGCTTTCAGCTGTTCTCTTTCAATGTCAAACTCTGAGAGCTGCTTTTCTACTTGTGCTTCCATCTGCAAGCCCCTCTTCCTCTTGGCTGCCAGCTCCTCTTCCAGTTTGCTCACCTTACTCTTCTCTTTCTCCAATTTCAAGCTCAATTCTGCTGTCTTCTGCCCCTCTTCAGCTGCTTTGGCAGTGGCTTTCTTGCACTCCACAACAAGCATGGAAGAGAGTTGTTTGTGACGTGCCCTCTCCTCCTCCAACTGGCTTGACAGCTTCTTCTGTTCTTTTTCAAACTTCTTCACTTGGGATTTTTCAAACTCCACCTGGAAGTTAAGAACCAAAGAGACTGTAAAAGAACCCTAAAACCTCCTGAAATAAATGAAGGATAAGAAATGAAAGGGAATGAGGTTACTGAGTATCTTGGAGAAATGACATGGTCCAAGATGGCAGTGGCTAAGGAAGAGGTTCTTGCCCCAGGAATCTGCAAGAGAGTCTGGAATGACTCAGCTTGCACGTAGTAAGAATTATGACTTACTAGTAGTTTTATCATGTATGAAATTCAATTGACCTTTAGTGAGATGTACACCCAGTCTGCCATGCACTGATGGAACAAGCGATCCGCAGCAAAGCTTCCTTCCACCTCATTTACCACTTTGTCAGTTTGCCTTTTAAAGGCATTTAGGCTTTAAAATGCTGATGTGTTATGTATGCTTAATAAAGTCTACAGGCTTGAGGAACAGAAAACAGTGGCTTAAATATTTATTAGCATCTCTGAGTAACACCCCCAGGAGACCTCTCATGACTTAACTTGCAATTTTAACTATACAAAGCACCATCAAATGTGTTCAAGAGAACTCCTCAGATTTCAGACCAAAGTAAGATTTCAAAGCATTTTATTGCCTATTAATAGCTTTTAGCACTGCTCAGCTACCAAAACACCCTGAGAAATTAAGGTTGGTTTTTGTACCAAAGTGACAAAGTGCCTTACAGAGGGAGGTTTCTGCTACTCTTTCAACACATCCCCACTGAGTTCAGCACCAGGAGCTCAGGGTTTCTGTGGGTTGGGCAATGAGGAGCCACCACAGGTACCTGCTGGGTGAGGCGCTCCCGTTCCTTCTCCAGCATGTAGGTGACATCATCTCCTTCTGCTGTGTCCTGCGCGTGACGCTGCCTCTCCTCCTCCAGGTCCAGGATCACCTGCCCAGCAAACAGCAGTCATGGAATCAGAGAATCAACCAGGTTGGAAAAGACCTCCAAGATCATCAAGTCCAACCCTACTGTGGTCACTAGCCCATGGCACTAAGTGCCACATCCAGTCTCAGCTTGAAAACCTCCAGGGATGGTGAATCCACCACCTCCCTGGGCAGCACATTCCAATGTCTGATCATTCCCTCCATAAAAAGATCTCTTCCTAATCTCCAACCTAACCCTCCTCTGGCAGAGCTTGAGTCTGTGCCCTCTAGTCACTTCCATGCCCAGGAACACTGACAAGCAGGGAGAGATCAGTGCCTTTGCCAAATGACACAGGACAGCAACCACAGACACCCAAATTCAACTCAAAATCACACAAAAGCAGCTTTTGGCCAAATTGCAACACTACATTATCATCTGGTCTAACAAAGTCAGTTTGTGAAAGGAGTTAGGAAAACCTCACACTGGATCCATCTCCATTTTATTGTTAAACAGCTAAATTGCACCCTGTTCCTCCAGACTGCACAACAGCATCGAGAAGGTCATGTTATTCATCCTTGGTTGTACAGTGCCCTCATCCCAGAATGGTTAGGGTTGAAAGGCATCTCTGGAGATCATCTAGACCAATCCCCTTGCCAAAGCAGGCTCACCTGGAGCAGGTTGCACACATCACATCCAGGAGGGTTTAGAACATCTCCAGAGAAGGAGATACAACCTCTTTGTGCAGCTTGTGCCAGTGCACTGTCACCCTCAAAATAAATCAGTTTTTCCTCATATTCAGATGGAGCTTGCAGTATTTTCATTTGTGCCTGTTGTCCCTTGAAACTCAGAATTTCCTGGCAGGACCATCAGGACAAACCCCAGCAGGAGCAGAGGTGCTGCATCCAGGAGACACAAGGCAGTAACAACAACAGCAACACAGCTCTCACTATGGTTCCAGCAGTAAATCACGCACAGGCCTCTCCCCAGTGCCTTACAGGGGATTTGAGGACTGCAGTGCAAAGTTTATTTTAAAGAACATTAATTTGTTCTTCCACTTAAGAACAAGATGAGCTCTTGAAATGAAACTGCTTCCCACAAGGACCCAGTTAAGGAGCTCCTTCAGTTTTAATGCTGAATTACATGAATAATTGAAGTTCTATTAGCTCAACAAAAAAAAAAAAACCCACAACAGAACACAAACTTCCCAAGAGGCTCTGCTGTATCTCATCACCAATGCTCTAAGCTCTCCCAACACATGCTCCCCATCAATTTAGCAGCTCCTCAATCTTCCTGAAATTTAAGCTTCCAAATAGTGTTTAAATATCACCAAGTATATAAGAAAGCTTTTCACAGAAGGAGACAGGAAGAACAGAAGGAGAAGGGGGAAAATGATCTGATTTTAATGGTGGATATTGGGCCAGAAAGTAAAACACAGCCTTGCTGTACTTCCAGTGACTTCCATTTCTGTGGAAGGACACTCTGGCACATGGATCAAGCACTTTATTGGTGTCAATACATGTTAAAGCTATGCCTGAAGTATAACAGGTGCTTCATTAAGGAGCCCAAATAGCATGAAAAAGAGTTTTGTCACTCCACACTTCCTTAGGGAAGCACAAGGAGGTGCTCTCCCACAAGCACCTGGCACCAGCTCTTCAACAAGCACTGAGAACAAGTCACAAGCAGAACACTGATATGTCTGCTGAGAATTCCATCATCCAGAAATCCTCTCTTCCATTTTGGTAAGCACTACATCTCCCAGCTGTGAGCTAGTTATTTTTTGGTGTGTCCTAACAAAAAGAGCTTGTGTCTATTTCCAGTTTTGGAATTATAACTAATGAACTTACCAGCTGCATCATCCTGAGTGAAAAGTTCAAACACAGGTGTGAAGTCCTTTCAAAGCTCATGGCATTTAAGTGCTTTGGCTGAAGTTAACATGATGAAAATGCAACTATTCTGCACATCTTACTGGAAGAAAAACTTACCTTTCTGTGCCTGCTTTCTGCAGCAGCTAGTTGGGATAACATTCTTTCCTGCATGTTCTTGCAATGTTTCATCACCACTTTCAAAATAGATAAAGGATTGGAGCACACTGGTTGCTTTTCACCATGATTCCCTTCTTTCAGGGTCTCAAAATCCCTCTGCAAAGCCATCAGGGGGTCACTGATGTTGTACTTGCCATAGCGTTCCTCAATGAAGGTGTCCCTGTGCTGGGCCTGCAACACAAAAACATCTGCATTTTAATACACCAGTAAACGACCTGGAGAAGAAAGGATTTTAGTTAATATTCCTCTTTCCCAGTTTTCTACTCAGAGATAAAGAGAACTTCATACAGTCTGATTCATATCCTGTTATCTGCTGTAAGAATAGGAGCATTCAGACAGGAAAAAACACAAGTGTGTCGTGTTAAAGGTTAACAGACAAGAGACAGCAATTCATCACACAAAGGGATCTACCTGCCAAACAGCAGTGCAGCCCATGCCACCAGAGTGATCTCCAAAGTCTGGCTGGCCCTCTCCACTTCTGATCACACCATAACAATGGGACAAACACTCTGAGCATGAAGAGTTACGTGCAGGGTGAGGACAATAAACCTTCTATCATCAGAAGGGGTTTTTAAGCTGTTAACATTTAAGGTTTCAGCTAGGCCCCAAGCTAATAAAAATGACAATGAATAGATGTTTAAATGGGCAATACAAATTGAGGGCTGTGTCCAGTTCTGGGCCCCTCACACAAGAAATGTATTGAGGGGCTGAGTATGTGCAGAGAAAGGAACAGAGCTGGGGAAGGGTGTTGAGAGTCAGTCATATGGGGAGTGGCTGAGGGAGCTGGGAGGGCTCAGCCTGGAGAAAAGGAGGGTCAGGGGGGACGTTATTGCTGTCTACAACTCCCTGATAACAGGAGCCAGGTAGGGATCAGGCTCTGCTCCTGAGCAACAAGTGACAGGACAAGAGGAAACAGCCTCAAGCTGTGCCAGGGGAGGTTCAGGTTGGACATAAGGAGCAATTTCTTCACAGAAAGTGAAGTCAGGCATTGGAAAGGGCTGTCAGGGAGGTGGTGGAGTCACCAGCCCTCGAGGTGTTCAAGGAATGACTCAAAGTGGCACCCTGGAGCAACTGATGAGGTGGTGATGGGTCACAGGTTGGACTCGGGAGTCTCAAAGATCTTTTCCAACCTTAATGATTCTAAGCCTCAAAGATCTTTTCCAACCTTAATGGTTCTATGAAAAGGTGAAGGTCTCCCACTAAGAAAGACAATAGAATCTAGGTGGGGTGATGGTCTCCTACTAAGAAAGACAATAGAATCTAGGTGGATCAAATATATGGAAGCAAAGCCAGGCTGGATGAGTCCTGCTTCACAACTAGGAGCCACCTGCTCTCCAGGTAAGATACTGAGTCTTGCAAGAGGCTTTTGTAAATGTTTCTATTTCCCCAGCTGGAACAGAAGCAAACAAATTCACAGGCAGCCTGAAATCAGCCCCAGGGAGGTTAGATGAAGATGGGCTTGATTAATTTCTCCCTGTCCCTCCAGTTGAACAGTGACTTTTAACCAAGTGGCCCCAGACAAACTACAAACAAAGTCTTGCTTAAAAACACAGCAGCTCCACAGTCTATTCAGCCTACAAACATCCTCGTGCCACAGCCTCCTGCCATGGCCATGACTTACATTCCACAACTGTGTGAAAGGAAAGAAGGTAAGTACCAACTGTTGCCCAACAAAAGATTTAATCATTTACTGTCCACCGGTGGAAGAGCAGTTGTGTGGTTTCCTTGACTATGTCACCATCAAAGAATTTCATGTTGAGCAATTAAAGAGTTTCACTCTTGCAAGAGCCTATAAATCCGTGAGTTGTTAATAAAATCCCTCATGTTCTCCTCCAGACTAAACAAAGTGGAGTTTCTCAAGAAGCAAGACAGGAATGATGAGGTTCTTTTGGTGACATGTAAGAACTAAGACAACTCACACATACTAGACTCTACATTTATGGTGTTTAATGGTTGGATTTAATGACCTCAGAGGTCTTTTCCAACCTAAATGATTAAATGAATCAGCCATTCCAGCTGGAAATCTGTTTGTTAGGACACCAAAAGGCTTATCCTACTCAATGATTACTGTGAAGCTCGAAAACACAAAACAAAATTTCATAAACACACAGATAATAAAATATTATCTACATGTTTACCACCAGCAGAAACCACATGAAAACAGGTATCTGTACAGCACAAGATATCAGAGGGAAAACAGATCTAGGTTCAAAGGAGCCCTCAGAGCTGTAAGAAATTTAATCATTGATTTCAACTGAAATAGTTCTGAGCATCTGTGAAAACCTGTGACTGTTTCATTGCTGTGTGTTAGTCCTGACAGCACAACCCTGTGCCCAGCAGAGCTATGCACCTTGCTGAGAAATAACATCTTCTGTGTCCCACGTCTAAATCTGATTCCTCCTGATTCATATTGTCTCCTAAGGACTGGTTACCATGGCAATTCACACCTTTACTTTTCCAGAGCATATAAATGACTCTGCACTGCTCTGCACAGGCATGTTCTTAGTGAGGCCACAGAGAAAGGTGTGGGTTATCCTCTGCATGAGTTACCTGCACTGCTGAAATGCAAGAACGAGCCCCAGGACCTCTAACTCGAGTGTGCTATCACCTTTCAGCCAGTTTAATTTAGAGCAGACTTCAGCATGTCTAACTAGCAAAGCACTGTGTGACCTACAGGAGGATTCTAATCCTAACTGCACTTTTCTTGCCAGAGCACATACATGACATGTTTCTGCCTCAAGAGATTGCTCCAAACAACCACTACCTGCACTTTACCAGGTGTGCTTCACCTTTCCACACACACACTGCTCCCAGCTGGGCACAAACAGCAAGTGAGCCATTCCAAAGCAAACCCTGCAGCTTTGCAGAGTTGGTGGAGGGCTCCAGCACCAGCCCCACACAGCCCTGACTCTGCTGATGCTGTGAAATGGCATTCAGCTGGTGCAGGGTGGAAAACAAAGCTCTGAATGCAGAGTGAGCCCGTGCCAGCCTCGCTATGTGCTGCCCCAGAAAGCCTTTCAGGGAGCAGCAATGGCAAACTGTCAACAGCAAACTGTCACCCATTTCTCATGGGACAGCACAAGGACATCTTTTAGACAAGAAAGACAGCAAAGACAACTCAGAGTCCAGGATTCCTTGGAATGGCTGCTTTGTCATGTCCCAGTATCAAAAATGCAAAGAGTTCCCTCGAGAATACAAGAAGTGGAGTTGTGACTAATACTACTGTGGAATATCCCAAACTGGAAGGGACTCACAAGGATCATCAGGTTGTGGAATATCCCAAGCTGGAAGGGACTCACAAGGATCATCAGTCCAGACCCTGGACAGGACACCCAAAAATCCCACCCTGTGCCTTGAGAGCATTGTCCAGACACTCCCTGAGCTCTGTCAGGTTTGGGGCTGTGCACACTGCCCTGGGGAGCTGTTCAGTGCCCAAACACCTCTGGGGGAAGAGACTTTGCCTAATATCCAACCCAAACTGCCCCAACACAGTTTGCTGCCACAGCAGTAGATGTAGCAGAGTAGTGATGCTCTGCTCCCCACCCCCCACAGCAGCTGGTACACATACTCTGCAACAGAAGAGCAAACTGCTGGAACTAAGCTGTGCAGATCAGAGCCTGAGAGAATAAAGCTTGGCTTAACTCAGAGAACTGCTGAGGTTTGCTGCTCCCACCTGCATTCCAAGATACAACCATGTGATTAGCATGAAAAACATTAATGAAGTCAATTCCTGCTCTCTTGACATGAGGCATAAAAACCCAAACCAAAACACTTTGCTATCCATATCTCCTTCATAACCAATCCCAATTAGGGACATCCATCCTATGATTCCAGTCTGGAACTGTGTTTTAACCCTTGCAGTAAACAAACACAGAAGAACAGCTCACACTCAGAGATACTCCTCCCTCTTTATCAGCAATATCCACCAGGAACTGTGGATACCTTTGATCAGAGCTTAAGATATTGTTCTAACTTTGCATTTAAAAAAAAGAAAAAAAAGGAGGGGAAGGAAAAGATCAGCCCTGGAAATGGGAGGGCAGCCCTGGATAACAAGCCATCCCTGGTTTCATGAATCACCGGAAAAACTACATGGCCTTTTTTCTTTTTTTTTTTTTTTTCCCAGGAACAGGGAATCTTCAGTTTTTCTGAATTTATAAAAATGACTCAAAGAAACCTCAGTTTAAGTGTGGAGGGAAATTCTAAGTGACTCAAGCATTAAAAAGGCCGTAAATATAAACTGGGATATCCATCCAGCCTAACTGCTTTGACAGATGAGCTTAATCCCAGCTCAGCCTGGTGCTGCTCTGTCTACAACCACCCAGACACAGGACAGAAACCCTTCAGACAGGCACCAGTGCTTCCACACTGTAAGCAGAGTGGGGTGGACACACCTTGCCTTTACTGCTGGGCAAGTCCTTCCCAATAAAAGCTCAAAGAACTGGGATGAAGGTGTGTCCCCTTCAGTTTTTGCAATGCTGTAGGTGTAACAAAAAGCTCTGTTTTCTTCTGCTCCTCACAGCACTGGGCTCTGAACTCTGTTGAATTTACTGGGGTGGTTTATTTCCTGTCTGGGGAAGAACAAGAAGTTCTTCCTTGCTACTTTGAGCAATTAAGTATTTTCCTGAAGTAGCATGACAAACAGATGAGACTATCATAACACTAATAGCTTTCTCGAGTCCAGCTACTCTTCTTTACTAGCCAACAGAGCATAAACATTTAATTAAAGTCGTCTAGACTAGGAAACAACTCAACCAGGTCATCCTACAGCGACCACATCTCAATTTCAAAACCAACTCCAGTGCTGTGGCACTTGGGCCACTGTGCACTTGGAAATGCAAATAGGGATTTTTCACCTGACACCTCTGTGCTACAGGTCCCACTGAGCAGCCACCTGTGCCTCCAAAACCCTCAAGGAAGCTCTTTGAAAATTAAGACATGATGCCATAATCTCCAGAGGGTTTTTTTTATACAGGTGTGGAACTGTCACAGAGCCCAAAGTGAAAAAAAAAAAAAATCAACCTAGATCTCAGATCCTAATATCAACCTACTAAAACACTGAAATCCACAGGAAATCAAGCTTCAGTAGTAAGGAAATAAGGTTACAAAATGTATTGTTAGCTTAAGAATGGAAAATTTCATCTGGAACACCAGAGATTACATACATTCAACCA